CTCCCCCTGCTTCATTGTGATGTATTTAATGTCAGCAAATATTAACCCTCTTAGTATCTGGGATACAAAAAGGTAGCCTAGCTTTTCTGTGAAAACAAAGCCAATAAATCAGCAAATATTTAAGCAATACAGAAGCTGCTTTAAAATTTCCCACGTGGCTGATAAATAATACTGGCTTCTCATTTATCAGCTTTTAAATATTTTGTTCATTCAGGCAGCTGCTGTCGCTCTGAGGGATAAAAAGGGGCTGAATAAACGGCGCGTTTCTTCTTCCACACTGCAGCAAAGCTTGGAAGAACCAGTGACAGAGCGATAAAGGCACCGTCTTGCACATCGCCACGGGAACAAGGGCCGGGGGTCCCCGGGGGGCTCTGCCCTGGCACTGGGACGCTGAAGCCGCAGCAGAGGCAGGGAAGGAGGGCAGGTCACAAACCTTGCCCAGCCCAAAACACGCTGTGCCTCGAGGGAAAAAAAAAGCGTACAGCAAGGCGCAAACATTGCAAATAAATAGGCATTTCAAAAATTTCTTATAATTATTGTGGTTAAAACACTACTAATGCAACTTCAGTGTTTTCAGGTTTTTATCCCGGCTTAACGTCTCTATGAAGATTGCGTGGATCCATCCTGTTTCTGAGCACAGTTTTCTGAGCCTTAATTGCCTGGAGGCTGGAGACTTAGCAAAGCTCTCTCAGTCCCACGCCCTGGCACCTTTTAAGTCACATTGCCTTATCCCCAGGGCATACCTGAGCTGAAGGGTCTCTCCGCAGCAGTCTTCCCTGCTCCAAGGCAGGGGCTGTCCCGCGCCGCAAGCCTGGTGCCGGATGAGCAACCCCACAGCGCTGGGCTCCCCTTGCTGGTGCTGTCCTCTGCTGGGAGCCTTCACCCTGGGAAAAACCCGCACAAAACAGAGCAGCTTTGTAGGTTAACCTGTAAAGGGAGCCCTCGGAACTGCTCCTGGGGCGTCGTTAATGAAAATAATGAACATGCTGAGCGGCACCAATGCGATGGGGCCTTAAACTGCATTTGCCAGCAGGGGACAGCTTAACAGTTCCAAAAATACTAGAAAACCAAAACTGTTTGCCAAGTTGTGGGTTTGGGGGCTGTTGTTGGGGGGAGTTTTTTGTTTGTTTTTTTGTTTGTTTGTGTGGGGTTTTTTTGTTTTTTGTTTTTTGTTTTTTTTTTTTAAACCAGTACAGTACTTCAGCACAAAGCTAGAGACTCTACAAACTGATAATGGGGGAAACCCCAAGGGGTGGGGATGCTTTATTTCCTCCTCCACTCACTTGCAAGCGTGAATTTCATTTTCTCTGCACACACTTACCGCTGAATCATGTTTTATACAGGTGATGGTGGAACTGGAGAGCCTGAGAACAGCCTCCCCCAGCACTTGGGCATCCTCTGAGGGTTTGGTCTCTGCGACTGGAGCTGGCTCCGCTGCGAGCTCCCACTGCGGCTGTGAGACCAGGCTGCACCTCCCGAGGCGGAGGGAGACGGAGGAGCCGCGGGGGAGAGGCCGATGCTGCGCCCCGAACACACACCAGTGGGGCTCAGCTCAGCCCAGGACCCGCAGCCGAGGGCAGGGTGCAGGTACAGCCCGGGAGCGCGGCCTGCCGCGAGCCTGCCCGGCCGGGGGGAGGCTTGGCTGGGGC